AGGCACAGGAATCGATCAGGAACTCCTTGACTTCCAGGTCACTGGGTGCGGGACCGGCCACTGTAGTGAGCTGTGGGAATTGTGGTCTCCTGGTCTAATAAAATGTCCCTAAAATGACAAGTTAGGAAATTTTCATAAGGAACTACATAAAATAGTTAGTGCAGCTGTGGCTTTCATTTCGGTCCCGCCCTGGCCTGTACCCAGGACCTGGGGGTGAAGTTCTGCTTCTGGCCACCAGAGAGAGCATGTGCCTACGTGCGCCCGCGGGTGTGACGGGAAGAGCGTGAGTGGGACTGACTTGTGACCTATCCACTCTGAATCTGAGATTGTCTCTGTGTGAGGATTGGGGGTGGCTGCCCGTCTGAGGATATCCCTTCTCTCCATCCCACCCTGGCCCGCCTCCTCCCAGATGACAAACAGTCACAAGTGTTTCCGGTCCCAGGCCCGATCCCATCACTGGCCGAGCCTCCCCCGCTCCACAGTCCTCCTCCGCACAATGTAATCTGGGTCAGCTCCAGCGCCAAAGCTTAGAGAGCAACAAACACAGCTTATCTGATACAAGTGTTTGGAAACACAGTTACTGTAACCCCAGTGTAGCCACTCTGGAAATGTTTATCTTTCTTAAACTGCTGGCTAGACGGTCCCTTGAGGAGCTAAGGGGTTACGTGGTTCCTTGCTTTGGGGAGGGGAGGTAGAACTTCCTTTGAAAACTTGTGAAATCCAACACATTCACACACATCATTTGAAAAGTCATAAGCTCTCACACGTGCCCATGCCAGGGCTCAGAGGCCCTCGAAAACGCATTCAGTTGATAAAGTTCAGAAATCTTCCAGAAAGTACCCCCCCCCCAAATATATAGGAAGTAGGTCAGGAAGGATAAGATGATTAAATGAGTACCAGGAGGTGCATATTTTGCTAGTTGGAGTTTCAAAGAACTTAGAAAGAAATAGTTATCACAGAAATTAAAACCGCACCTTCCAAAACCCAGGGGGCAAGACTCACCAAGCGCCCAGCCCTGTGACAGCAAAGACCTGAGGCACGGGGACCAGGAGAAGAGATTTAAAACATCCACAGAGAAGAAGAGGGTCCCATACAAACCCATAGCTCTACTGGAGCATAGGATACAACAGATAATAACAATGTATCAATATTTGTTCCTTCATTCTAACAAATTCATTGTAACAAATGCAGGATTATTTTAATGATTGGAGAAACAGTGTGGGGAAGTGAGGACAGCATTTAGGAAAACTGTACTTTCTGTGAAATCAGTCTTTCTGTAAACCTAAAACTGCTCTAAAAAATAGTCTATTTTTTAAATGGAAAAAAATGCCTTCAGAATTCTAAGGGAAAATCATTTCTAGTCTGACCACCTGCATTGTGTGTTCCTGCCTCCCATGACCTCTCTCTCCCACCCCACCCAGGGACCCTGGGAACAGGGTGAGATGGGGGTGTCACCCGGAAGATGACATTAGGGCGCTTGCTCCCTCACCAGCTCAGCTGGGCACGGGGTTGGGTGGTGCAGACAGGCCACCAGGGGGCGCCCACACCCCGGCCCACTGGGCCCAGGGAGCCCTGAGGTCCAAGAAGAGGCCGAGGAACAATGGGGTGATTGATGCAAATGGGCCATGAAAGACAAATTGTTCGGATGCAGCACTGAGGGCTCCTGCCAAACGCCCAGGGTGCGTGGAATTTCAAGGAGAAGCTGAGGAGAGTGGGGCTGTGGGCCGGGACTCCAGGCCACCCTCCTTGGAACCCTGCAGGCTTGGCCTGGGCCCCCAGAGGCCTGCCCCGGGGGTAGGGGTGGGGGCGGCAGTGGAAGTGGATGGAACAGGTGGGCAATGGGGGGACAGCTCTAGAATGGGGACCAGACTCCCACCCCTCAGATGGTCTCCCGGTCCTGAGTCCACTCAGCCTAGAAAAAACTTCTCCCACCACCTGCTAACCCCACGCCCAGAGCTGGTGTGAACCAGGCTCCCTCCTGCTCCCTGGGTGGCCTCCAGTGTGGCTGCCGCTTCTTTGAACCTCTGTTTTCTCATCTATAAAATGGAAGCACCACCCCCTCCATTTCTGCCTCCCAGGGCTTGTGAGGATCAAATGAGAACAGCCTGGAGAGCCCAGCATCTCTGTTCCCTTCTGCTCAGAGGAGACCACCCTGGGCAGCCCATCCCGGCCTCCTCCAGGCCCCAGAAACCCCTACCTTGCTCCCAAGCCTCCCCCTCCCTGAGACCTCCAGGTGACCCTGCTCCATCCAGGGCCCTCAGTGTGAGCTCCTGCCTCCTCCCACCCCAGGATCTGAACTTCCGACCACCCCCAGGCCAGGGAGGGTGGGGCAGGATCTGAAGCTGAGGCACAAGGGCTCCTTGTCCCACTGGGCAGGCTGGCACCGCCTGTCCTGTCCCCAGGAGGAGTCTCTCTGGCACTATTGTCTTTCTGTTATGGTTTGGGGGAGGGGCCCATCGGGGTCCATCAGGACCAGGCCAGTGGCCACAGCCTGGGCCACCTCCACCCCACCCAGACACCTGCCAGGCTTGTGAACTGTGCCACCTTTGCCCTGTCCCCTCTGAGAAACCGCAGTTCCCATCCTCACAGCCTCCATCCTACGCTGGCTCCTTTGCTGTCTTTATTTAGTGAATTATTTACAGTTCATACACTGCCCCGAGCAGAATGCCCGCCCACCTAGGCTTTCAGTAAAATCTACTATGGCCCAGCCGCCACCCTCGGTCACCCAGGGCAAGGATCTAAAGCTCCCAAAGCTGACTCTGGGCCTCCTGCCCGCCACGGCCCAGGGAGGGGTCGGCAGGCCTGGAAAGGGTTAAGTCCCCAGGATGGGCCTGGGACCCAGCTGCTTCCCGTGGGCGTGTGGATTTACAGCCTCTCCCACTGGGGGGGCTACAATCCGGTGCTGGGGCAAGAAGTGCTCCGAGGGAGAGAAAGGCAGGGTCCTCCATCCACTGCCAGATGCCCGTCAGGCAGCCAGGGCCTCCCACGCAGGCGCCACTGGGGGAGCCAGGATAGAGGGTCTGGGGCTCTGGGAGCAGTGAGGGCCCCACTCCAGACACCGGGATGGTCAAGGGCGGAGCTGGCCCTGTCTGTCCTGGGCCTCTGCCCATCTGGGGAGAGTTAACCTCAGAGAAGTTGGTCTGGGAGTTCAGACTTTAATTTCCAGGTGAGAGTGGCATGCTGGGATGTTCTGTGCCTCAGTTTCTCCCCTCTGAGCACACCCTGCAGGGTAGGTTTAACAATGGGCCTCCACAATGTCCACCTGGGTTGCAGGTTCGATGCCTGGACCTGGTCAGGTGCACGCTGGAGACAACCAACCGGCGTCTCTCACATCTCTCTCTTTCTCCCCTCCTACTGTCTCTAAAAAAATGGACAAAATATCCTCCAGTGAGGATTAAACAAAAAAAAAAAAAAATATGCCAGAGGGAGAGAGTGAGGAGCCAGATGGAACTCAGTCTTCTGTGGCCTCATCGCAGAAGCTCCGGCCCATCCTAGTCAAAGGCTGGGAAGCAAGTCCCAGGCCCATCCAGAGACTCTGCCGGGAGGGGCCCTTCTGTCCCGCAGGAGAAATGGACACTCTGGGCGGAACCAGGGAAGGGACCCCCAGACGGTGAGAAACACCCGATGGCCGTGTGTAACCTGCAAGTGGGGTGAGCACAGCTGAAGCTGCTCACCGGCCCTGATCACCCCCACAATCAAGTGTAATTAAGGGCTGAGTGGGTGCCGCTGGCTCTTCAGATCTGGCTGAGCCCGGCTGTTAATCTTCGAGGTCTTGGCTTGCAGGGGGGACCCACCTCCCTTGCTTTAGGGAGCCAGGGCCAAAGGCCCTCACTCAGGTAAGGTGTGTGACATGTGACCAGTCCTCCCTTCTTCCCGGTGGGGGGACGGGGTGAGCAAGTGCGTGAAGGGCTGAGAGCCCCTGGAAGGCCCTGGGGCTATGGGTGCGCAGCACCCTAACCCTCGGAGGGGGCTGGTGGGCTCCGTTCATCCTGTCCACCCAGGAGGCTCTGACACCAGGAGGCACCTGGGGGGAGTGAGAACAGCCAGTCCCAGTCGGGGGCACTGCCTCCCCTTCTCTGAGCATCGCCTCAGGCTCCTTTAGGACGCAGACGCTTATCTTGAAGGGATGTGAGTCTCCGAGTTTCCTCCGCGGTTCCGGCCCTATTAGGGAAAAACCCCCGCGAGCTGCTAATTTCGGTCTAATTGCAGGCGGCTTTCTCAAGAGGGTTGGGGTTATCTCACTGTAACAACAAACTACCCCCCACTATCTGTGCGTCTTATCTCTTTATAGACATTTCCTCAATTAATTCTCACAGTGGTTCTAGGAAGGAAGCTGTTATCATCTCTGTTTTAATGGGGTGACAGGTAACTTGCCCAGGTAACACAGTAAGAGGCCCAGCGGGGCTTCACGCTCAGGTCTGCCTCCCTCTCTCCTGCTGCTACTGGGGCCAGGGAAGCCAGGGACTCTGGGCCCCACTCGCCCTGACCAGCACGAGCCGTCCCTTCTCCCCTCAGTTTCTGCACACACCCACACACACCCCATCCCCCACCCCCGGCGCCTCCTCAGACTCCCAGTTGCTAGACTGGGACTTGCCCTGTCTCCTGGTCCCATGGATGACTCACACAGCAGGCGGGTGGGCAGGGGTGAGTCTAGTCTGCCAGGGCTGAGGCCGTGGCAACAGCCCCTCCCTGGCCGCCCAGCATCCACAGGCCCAGCTGAGCAAAGTTTTCCATCCCGTGTGTGTCTGCTGGCACTGCCCGGCCTGTGTATGCCCTCGAGGGGGGCCTTGACCCCTCTCTGTGGTCCCACCAAGCATTCCTGAGGCCCAGGCTCCTTCTCCAGAATTCAGAGCTGCCGGAACAGTGAGGACGCCCCCAGACCCAGGGAGCAGGCTAAGCCCTTCCCGGCAGAGAGACAAACTCTCCCCCCAGAGGTCACTGGGACACGGATGCTCCAGGCACTGGGTCTTTGTGGGCAAAGAATTGCACTCAGCAGACAGTGTGGTCACTGCCCTTTGCAGGGCGTCTTCATTGTTGGACAGGCATGAAATGGTAATGGCCAAACCCCCACCACCTCCAGGCCTAGCAGGGCAGCGAGAGCAGAAGGACAGGAGGTGGGGGGAGACGTGTGCAAAGAGAGGGCCTGGAGGGGTGGGGGTCCCAGGGGGACCTAAGCAGCAGGAGACCCCCCCCAAGTGTGGGCCTCAGACCCATCAGCGTCCCCCACCAAGGTCAGTCCGGAGGTGATCTTCCCCTGGGTGCCAGGCTGGCCTCCTGTGTCCTGAGGCTTAGCACCCTACGGGGCTCTGCCCTCCTCTGGGCGCGGCACCAGCCAGGACGGATGGCAGGGCCCCCGGAGGGGCTTACATGCCAGGTCTCCGCCGTGATCCATGAGTCAGGCCTGTGGCTAGAAGGCCCTGAGCCGGGGACGTCCTTAGAGTCGGAGAGTGTCCAGGGGCTGAATCTTCATTCTCAGCCCTTCGTGGCCTCTGCCCTCCTGCCCAGCCATCCACCCTTCAGCTCCAATGCCTCCTGCACCTGACCATGACTCCGCTTCGCCGGGTGGGACGTGGTCATGCCCAAAGGGCCATGGCGCTGGAAAGAAAAAGAGAGTATCCACACCAGCTTCCCCACCACGAAAAACAGAAAATAGTGTTTGTACATGACTGAGCAATGGGGGAGCCCGCTTGCCCACCCCACCTGAGGGACCAGTGAGGGTCAATTCTCACTGGGGATTCAGTGTTTACAGGAGGGTCAGAGCAAAGTGGGGCCCCACACGGCCCCTGGCTCACTGGGACTCTCCTTGTTGCAGTGAGGAAGCCTCAGGGCAGGGAGGCGAGGAGTGGAAGGTGGGGGGTGGTGGTGAGGGGGACTTGGATCCTCACCAGGGAAATTAAAACCAGAGTGGTGCAAACCCATCCCCAGCCTGGCTCCTAGTTCCCAGGGGAGGGAGTGGCATCTGGGGCAGAGGGCACAGGGCTGGGGGCCAGGCCTTCCAGGTTCTATTCCTGGTCCCTCCCCTGGGCCTTCCTGACCACAAATCTGCCCCACCCCCTGCCCTACCACTCGAAGAACCTGAAGACATCACAACTAACAAATCATGTGCCCTTCCTGCCCCATCTTCTCTGGCCCCACTGGGCATGGGCTGGTGCTCAGGGGCAGGTGGACAGGTCCATCCCCGGGGCACCGGTGACCTGGCCTGCCCTACCTGCAATTCCCCTGGTCTCCCAGCAGCTCAGCCTTAAGACCCAGAGCCCACTGTCAACAAAGGGTGGTGGAGCCCCGGCCAGCCCAGCCCAGCCCTCCTGCTGAGGCCCCACCTGGCAAGTGGGGTTCCTTGATCTGGTCACAATCCCCCTGAGGACCCCACTAACAGAGGGAGTCCGTGTTTCTGCCTCAATTCCATGCTCAAACTCTCCTGTGGGGAGCATTCATCCTAGTAGGAGGGGGACAGGCTTCTGTTCATTGGACGCTGGGTTCTCCCAGCTCCCAGAAAGCGGAGGCCCCAGGTGGTCTGCCCTGCAGAGGAGCAGAGGCCCAGCGGCTTGGGGGGCTGTGCAGGCCAGCCTCTCTCCGCCTGAGTCATGCAGAAGCAACCTGTGGCAAGGCCCATCCCGCCCATCTTTCTCTCGGACGCCTGCAGGGCCCCCTACCAGGTGCCCCAGGGGGAAGTCCAGTTCTTGGCAGGGTTGGGGGTGGGGGCAGGCCTCCCAGGCCCAGACTCCCCGGCTCCTACACTCTGCAGGGGCCCTGGGATGGTCCAGCTTTTAAGTGGAATGATGGCAGGAGCCCCCCACTTTCTCCGTAGGGAAGACAGACAGAGAGAGCGCCCAGTCCCCAGAGGGCTTACCCGATGTGACCCCGGGCACCGAGTCGGTGGAAAACTGGAAAGCAGGGCAGGTCAGAGGGCGCGCCCCGGAGGTTTAGGACACGAGGGTTCCGGTCCCCAGGCTCTGGCGGGCCCGCACCGTCTGGATGGCCTGCTGGTTCTTAAACTTGACCAGGCCCAGGGTGATCTGGGCGTTCCAGCCGGGGTCTTCGAGGGGGCAGCGGAAATCGATCTCGCCGCCACCCTCGGTCACCAGCGTGAAGTATATGTGGCGCCCGGTGCTTTCCACGCACTCCACGGCCTTGATGCGCGCGAAGCTGAGCTCCTTGGGCCGGCCGCCCGCGCCCTTGGGCTCGAAGAGCTGCAGCCCGCGCTCGGTGAGCACGCAGCGCTTACGCTTCCAGAGCTGCAGGAGGCCGCCGCTGCGCTTCTCCAGGACGCCCTCCTTCAGCACCGCCGCCGCCGCCGTCATGGGGCCGCGGGCCCGGGAACCCCG